GTTCCTGTACTATGAAGTAACAGTAACAGTGTGTTTTGTTTGTGATTTAGTTAATACATATAATTTATTTCTAAATCCAACCTCTCACCTCCTTCTTTTTGTTTCGGCTTTGGCACAGGGTCTTAACACATTAAATAAATATTCCTTTGTATTCAATTATACTTAAATGATCTGTAATGTGAAAGTATTTGGTGTATTTATTCATACTGTACATGCTATACTGCAAAGTAACTTGAGTGTCAAACTGTTTAACTGAGTGTTGCCGCACGATCCAGATTAGAACTAAACAGGAAATCCAAAGCTCTTCTATATCATTTCAAACAAACACCATGATGACTAGACCATGGTGTGGTTCTTATAATGGATGGAAGTCTGGGGAAAATTAAACAAATAATCATCATGTCACTTAGTGTCTTTTGTCTTTGCATGACTGCTTATTTTTGGCACATGATACGAAGACATAGTACAGGAACTGACAAATAAGGGTCAAAGATCAAATTTGAGCTCAGTATTTTTCACATACAAATATTTCTAAATTGTAACAGCTAGTGTCAGATTTTGGGACCCCTACCTTTTATACTTTTGTCTGGACAAAACAGAAACTTTGAAGTCATTTTTCTCAGTTTCACACTCTGGCAAGTTAAGGTTTTTGCTTTTGTAGGGCAGTATGGTTGAAAAGAAAAGACCAGAGCAGAAGATACCAGTCACTCTGAAGGTGAACAGGTGGTCCCATCCTCACACCTACAGGCTATTTCTGTCTGCTTATATCACCTCACACATGTGCAGAACCTGCTACTGTGCAAAAGGTGAAGAATATGCAATAAATCAATAAAAAAATCTATATAACCACTGTGACTGGGAAAGTAAAAATCATGTATGTGTTTGGCACTCAGGAGCTGCTACAGTGTAAGCACTAAGTATATACTGTATTTTCGGACTATAAGGCACACCGGATTACACCGGATCGTCCATTTTCATACATAAGGCAAGACAAACGGATGACACTTGAGACTGATACCTTAGCCCAGGCATCCACGATCCATTGGTAGATACTGGCCTAATTCGCCTGGCGTCACCTCCCTGTCTTGGTGAATGTGTATTATGAATGTGAATGTGGACGTTTTTTTTTGTTTTGTTTTTTCCTACGAGGAAGACTCAAATATACACTGAGTAATAATGTGTTTATTGCAGCTTTGTGCACATTTGTTTATGTTTTACAGAAACAAAACTTAAAACAGAAATTTGCAGAAACTATAAGCGCTGAAAAAAACAGCTCACTTGTTGTGCGCTGATGCAGTCAGCTTCTGTCGGACTAACTCTGTGAGGCTCCTTACTACGGTGGTCATAATGGTCCGACAATCCATCAAGCTGTGTGGCTTCATAGCTTACCAAAGTTGTACTAAAACATTTTGACAGATTTTTGAGTGCAGTGTACCACATAAAATTGGTTCAAGGTCAGTAAGCACAAGCAGAATTAATATATAAGGCGCACTGGATTATAAGGCGCACTGTTGAGTTTTGAGAAAATTAAAGGATTTTAAGTGTGCCTTATAGTCCGAAAAATACAGTACCGTGCACAGTCCTGCCTGCTTCGAAGTGTGAACGTAAATTTTCCGTTCATTTTGCAAATAGATTTTTGCCGAGGAACAAGAGCTGATGCAAAATGTGCCAATACAGACATTTCACTCCATTTGCCCAGTCCAGGTACAGTTAGATGGAAGGGCATCTGGCATGAAAAAAATCAATCAAATCACCATGCTGCTGCTTCTCTATGGCAACCCTTTATGAAAAAGCGAAGATAACCCATTGCTCCGCTTTGAAGCACTTTTATTGACTATGGCAAGTCCTCCATCTTCCATGCCAGTCTATATCAGTCAATGAGTACCTCTTTACCATGTGAATATTCACTCAGTACTATTATTAGGAATACGAAATTACTGTTATAATGATTGAGGAGGCTTTCCAGTGTATCCAGTCATTCTCTTCGCAGTATTTGGGGGTAGGGTGTTGGTAATACATAGCTCTAGGAATGTTTCACTATGAGCCAAGGGAAATCAGAAATCTCCCTCTGGCCTGCACAGCTCCTCACTTTGAGACTTCATAATTACAGTTCAACACAGCAGCCCGAGACCAGCGCACTCGTAATTACATCTTATCCACCGCGATCCCATTAGATTTGCTTTGGCCTTTAGGCATTTTTCCATCATTTACTCCATCACAGAGCAGTATTAGGGCCAGTGGCAGGGCACCGGTCCACTAGTGTGTGCGCGCGACTTGGGAGTTGAGGGTTCAATTCCCACATCGGTCGGGCTCTCGCTAACCCCTTTCATCCAGATTTTGTCGACCCAGAAGGAACACGCTAGTTTAATGGATTGGGAACATGAGGAAAAGTAGCTAATTTAGTCACACACACATCGACAACAAAGTGAACATCTATAAAGGACTAGCCAAGCACGTAATTGCAGGCCCTTTGGCAGTGTTGGCCTGCGTTATACTTCTCTATGTAATAAACACTGGTTTGAACTGATGGCTGAATAGAGGAAAACACCATTTGAAACTTTGTAATGAGGCAAAACTCCACCACAGTGAAGAAGTTAGCTAGAGCTGCAGTGAATAAAAGAAGGTTTGTTGTGATCCAAATCAGCGAAAGTATACCGTCTATGAAACAAAGTCTGGTGGATTACAGTATGTTTATGTTGACTTTTTCAGTAAATTGGGCCTAATCAAAACCTCACAAAACTCCCACAGTGCTGGGAATTAGGAGTACATAATAACTAACAAACATAGCATTCTTCCTGGGGCTTGTGTTTCAAGATGTGTTATGTTTTGGGTTTTCATGACGCTGTCCTGAAATTTAACCCCTACATTTGACCCATCCTTCAATGCGTTTTATTTTTTTGCTTTGCACTGCCAATACTATTTAACGATAAAGCTTTGGATTGGTTCAAATAGTATACTAGGGCTTTAAAAAAATCTTTCTGACAAGTAATGCGATTAGATATATGATTTATGTTTAAACAGACAATAAAACAGAGCATCAGGGCACACAGAGTGATGGACACAGAGGCGCAAGATACAAACTCCAGGTATAGTGAAAATAATGAGAAGACTTTACTACTCACCTCTCATAAAGTGGTAAATTTAAAGTACAGCATCTGATCCACATTATCATAGAAATTGTCCTCTTCAAATAATGACCCTCAGTTCACAAAACTGTGCTGTTAATCCAGTTTGAGGTGTTCTTTGAAAGTAAAAAGGCGAGAGTAGATCCTAACGTGTGTCTGTTTACATCCACACAGCGCACTGATCAGCTTGAAGCTGCAGATTAGCGATAGTGACTCTATGTCCTGTGTACTTTATCGGCAATCTTTTATGCTTTAAAAATCATGTATCTAAAGTGTTGCACCACATTTCACAAGTAATAATAACACAGTTTTGGCTTTATCTAAACTAGAAGTGCAGTGCTCTGATCTTTTGAACTCTTAAGAGTCTCAACGTGAGTCGTTTTACTGTAGACAGGAAACAGCCAATGCGATCATTCTCACAACTTTGCAGCCTGTGGTCCACAGCCATATCCTTCTGCAGTCTTTGTGATCAAAGATTTTAAGTCTCATAAGGTTCACCTTGTGTCTGTGGTGTGCGCTTTTTGTTGTATCTTTAAAAATCATTTAAGATAAAAAAAAATGTAGTGTGTGAAGGCCTTTTTACAATAATCTCATGCATTTCAGAACATGTTTATCTATAGTAGATTCAACAAGATTTTTCTATAAAAAAGACAGAATATTTTGGTCTTTACTGTATATAGTAATAGACATTCTGTTACTTTGCGATTTCATCATAGACTGTATAAAACAAGCGGACAAAGCGAGTGTGACGTCACCCATAGATTTCAGCATCACTCAAATGAGGCTAACGGTTACAGGAGTGAATCTGGAGCCAGGCTCTTTGTTATGAATAGGATTTTATTGATGGACAAAATAGCGAAAAGAAAAATTCAAGATCATGTAAAGCGGGTTAATACGAACATTTTAAGACCAAAATGACGAGGCTCACTGCAGTTACAGAGAGAGGAGAGACAAGATCCCAGTGTAAGTCTATTGGAGCCAGAGTCAGAAGAAGAGCCACCTGGCGCACATCCTATTTGGCATGCGGCGACTAGTGCATTAGCTATGCCCAATCATATATAGGGTCTATGGATTTGATAATTGCAGCAACTAAAATTGCGATTTCGATTCAGTTACAATATATTGTTGTGCCCAATATAATACCATGTCTTGAAAGACTGTGTTAAGACCCTGGCATACCCAACTAATGCTGCTAAACATGTTCAGTGCAAATTTAGATATCTAAAACTTCACTATCTCCAAGAAACATTTTAAATATAGAGCAGCAAATGCAGTAATAACTTTCACATATCCTATCTATACTCTTCTTTACATTGCAATTTCATTTTCAGGCTAAAAATATACAATAACAGATATAAAACCTCCCAAATAGAAGCTCGCCTGTGTCTTCCTTTGACGTATTGAACAAAGACAGGATCATATGTGGAGGCAGTGGGAGCAGTGACACTCGTCTGATGGGTCCAGATATGAAGTCCTGGAGTCAACAGATGCAAAAAGTGCCCGCAGCCACCAGCGGCCGCATTCAATTTCCTTTTTATCTGCTCGGTGTGCGTTTTGGAGGAAGTATTTCTGTGTGTGTGATAGCAAAGGAGCGGAGGGCACTGTCAGCTGAGAAGAGTGGGTTTTTCTTCAGTCAAAATGATATGTTTGAATGAACGTGTCAAAATGATGAGGAAGTTGAGCGATGCGCAGTAGTAGTAGTCGTAGTAGTAGTTGTTGTAGCTAGCAAACTGGGAAAGACAGTACAATATGGGCCCTTTAAAATATAAATAGTTAACTGATGGGCAATAATCCTACTTTTTATCGTTCTGAAACCCATGGATAGGAAACAGACATCATCTTCTATCTGTACTAACTAATGCCTCCTCTCTATAGGTGTTCCATGCCAACACTGACCCTACAGAGGTGGTCCTGAATCGCATCCCTCAGCCTGTCCTGGCCCGTTTTGTCCGGATCCGACCGCAAAACTGGAAGAACGGGATTGCCTTGAGATTTGAGCTGTACGGATGTCAAATCACAGGTAAGACACTAAACACACACTGTAAACACTTCAAATATATATAGAAGCTAATGTTGGAGAAAATTATAATCAATTCAGAGGCCACAGTTAGGTTCATTAAGCTGGATCCTCTTCGTATTTAAACCCCCGTCCTATACCACAGCCCCTGTCCCCTCCTATGTCTACACTCACAAAAGACTAAACGTTGACTTAGTGTAAAATGTCTTGGGTGTTTTCTGTCCAGATTCCAGATCGGATTAGAGGTTTACTTTTTAAGTAGTGTGTACAATCCCTCAGTCGTCCAGGTAGAATCCATGGCAAAAGGAGAAATTCAATTTGTCAACTGGACAAAAGTGTATTTGGTTGAATATGTTTCAGAGTTTATCCAAGCTGCTTCTTCAGCTCTGGTCAGACACTTTTGGACACTTCCTTATCTCTGTCTAAAGGGAGGAGCTAACTACACTGAAACTACTCTGAAACAAACACACCTACTTGTTTACAGTTTCAGTTTGTTAGCTAGGCATACTGAGCTGCACTGAGTTTGGGGTCATATTAGTATAATCGTCCAGGGCTATAATGGAGCTTTCACACCTCTGAGCCTGGGCCTGACCTGGCTATCCCGATTGCTTCCGATGTTTGTTTTGATTTAGTCCAATGAGGTTCATTTGGCCTTTTATGTTATTAGGTTCTTTTTTCAGACCAAGAGTTTGTTTTCATACCTGACACTTTCGACTGCTCACAAGCGGTCTTCCTCAGAGTGGTCATGTGATGTTGCTGTGACGTATCCGGTCAAGTGATTTATACAGGTTTTGGTGCCGTCTTCCTACCAGTGGAGGTAGGATGACAGCGCCATCTGCAGTCTGACTTCCTCAGGACAGGTGTGTGAGAGTAAAAAATCCCCCTCGTCCCGGTTTATAATCCCTTGAGTTTTGATTGAGGTTTGAGGATGGAGTTGTAAATAGGAGAAGGTGATGTCTGAGTCTTCCATTTCTATTTAGAGCAGGATTCTCTTTCTTAACAAAAATAGCTTCTTTAACTCACCTCTCGAACCAATTCTTTTCTCTGGCTACTTTTTAAGTTTAACTTCAAAGTTCATCTATGTATTTGTGTGGAAAACAGGACAATACATTGCTTTGTGTGAGTGTAACTACACACACACACACAAAAAATGTTGTATACTTTGAAATTTCCTGTGTTTGTTTGTTTGATTGTCTTACACGTGCATAATTAAAACATAACACAAGTCTATATTTTGATCAAAAACAACCTGGTTTAGCAATTCTTGACTACCCTTTTTTCTTGCAAGGACTGAAAATGTTACAGTGGTGCAAAATACGTAAAATCCACGACTGTAGTTGTATAAAACTGATCATGTCAGTTCATTTACACAATGGATTAAATGTAAGCAATAAAACTAAAATAAATTATGCATACATTTTTAAAGATATTTTACTTTTGAGCCGAGTACTAAAAGGTCCATGGTGTATTTTTAGGCCCAGATGGTTTAAGACCCCTGGTTTAAAGCAAAAATATATGTCTTTTATGAAAATGAATTGCTCTTGTCATTGTAGAGACCACCTGTACCCGTCCCCTGACCTACAGCATAGAATATAGACTCTTCTTCATTTACACATTTCCCATAATCCCTTTAATACATCTCCTCTCAACAGGTTATTACAAAGCGTCCATTGTCTGTAATGTAATCTAATGATAATTCACATATTAGCACCTCTATTAATATCCATTACTTGTATTCATATATTCCGTTCTTTTGTCAATCTATTCTCCCGTGTACAAAAGCTAGCTGCTCTTGTGATGGCTGACACTTTGCCCTCGCCCCTCTCCTGTGTACCCATCCCTTTTGGTGTCCCCCTATCCTCTCCTCTCTCTCCCTCCCTTTTTCTCTTCCTCCCTCCCTCTCTCCCTCGCCTAATAGAATAATACCATGCTAGCTGTGTGCGTGATAGCATCGGCTTTCATCTCTTGCACTGCCAAACAAACACATTTTCGAACGGTATAATCAGCTTCAATACTATAAATAGATAAAACGTAATTAGGCCGTCTGTTGGTTTCTGTTATTGGAGGTAGAGGAAAAAGACTAGAATCCATTGTGTGTGTGTGTGTGCGTGTGTGACTGTATCATTATTAGGTTAAGGCCTCCCTGCTGCCATTGTAGTGGCCATTCACAGGGATAGATATGGCTCTTATCGAGGAGGGCTATTTCGGCACCCACGCGATTTAAAATCAAACAGGATAATACAATGGATGTGTATGTGGTGGAGAGGGAGGGGTTCGGGGGACCATGAAGGCGGCATATTTTTCACCTTTTTTGCGGGCACAACTCAAATTGTATTAGATCTCATGGCTCGGAGCTTTTTTGGTCATGTCTATTTAGTAGCACTGAAAAATCCATTGCAACTGATGTGTCCATTATCTTTCATAGAGCGAATACGGTAACTGGGATATGCTTACAGTAAAAGTGCACGATGTAACTTTTCTGGACGGGTGTTTGCTGCCTGCTCGTCGTCCTTGCCTGCATTGTTCCACAAAATGGCATTAAACTTAAACATTCTTCTTTTATTTAATTGTAGATGGTTTTATTTCTTAAAAATCAGTGTTTTTACTGTGGGCGCCAACGCGCAGATCAGGCCTGTAACTTAGTCTGCTTAATTATTATTTAAGTTTAATGCCAGAGTGTGGAACTTTCCAGGAAAAGCAATAACAGTTCCTTTAATATGTGTGTTTAAATAACTACTTAATATACTTTAATATGACTAAAATGGGCTGAATGTACAACACACATGTACATAGGCACAGGAGAACTATGGGTACAAAAGAAAACTTTGTTCATTCATGGCAATAAGCCAATAATAAAATATTTGGGTGCCAAAATGTATATAATCTATGCAAAATTTAATTATTTAAGAATGGTTAATTATTTTAAAAATATGTAAAAATGAAATGCTCAATTAATAAATAATGGCTTCCACTCGGTGTTCAAAGCCCTTTATATGTTCCCTCTGCTTTGTGTAATAGTCAAACATCGTCATCGCTCACATTAAACTTCAAGAGCAAACCTTCTATGTGCACTAGATTCAGGCATCTGTTCTTTGGAGAAAAAACTGAATCAGCGATTGACGCAGGAATAACTTTGTCTGGCCAACTTTTTTATTGCTGTCATATTTTGCGGGCGTCTGCCACTGTCCCTCTCATTAAAGGCCAGTTTATAGTTCTGCGTCAAATCTATGCGGAAGAACCACACAGCTTCCCGACCATGGATCTATAATAAAAACTGGATAAGACACTCCCCCTGTGTCCGTGAGCGAGATCGATTAGTGGCTGCTCAATAGGTACTGCAGCTCCTGGGAGCTCCAGCCCAGAAAGAATTGTCCCAAAAGAGCATAATGCATTTTTGTGAAATCAAACTGCCCGTGTTCGTCTGACAGGGCACCAACAGCTTTCATAGCTGTCAGATTTTGTAGGGTTTAATCTGTATTTTCACAATATTAACTTTTTCAAAATTTTGAATAGTCAAAGTGCCTAAATGTCAGCATTCATTTTCTGGCCAAGGTGCATGTACATGTACACGGCACGTACGTGGCAAAGTCGCTTTCATGTCGGGGGCTATGCGGCACTTCCACGTAGATTTGACACAGAACTATAAACCAACCAAACACTACTCCATAGTGCATTAGTGCTCCAAGGGGCTTAAGATTGACCATTTATTATACTATGAATTATACAATGGGGATTGTTGCAAACTTGACCTATATTTTGTATTTTCTCCTGTTAGATTTTCAGTATAAAAAGAGAGGGAGTCGACTTACACAAAAGACCATTCTGTGAAAACACCTTTTTGATACGTGTTATGTATGTGGGCTTTATGCGTGCACCTGCATGCAGCGCTGGTGTGTGTGCTATGGAACAGGTCATATGCTCTAAACACCTCTTTGTGCTGCATCTTCTCTATTGCTCACAAGATATGGTCCAGAATACTACTTATAGTAGTGAGGTAGTAAGCCATAAAGTTAGCGGTATGCGGTATCCCAGCTCCAACCACTACATGCTGTTGTCACCTTATATTTGTATGAGCAATGTACATGTGAATGGCGTCAAAACTGTGTGAGGTGAGTGAATCATTGCATGAAATTGTAAGGTAACTTTGGGCGTCCGGGAAAACCTTTTAGAAGACTAAAATAAAGGCTTATTATTTTTGTTTTTGAAAATGGGCAATGCTTATAAGTTCACTTGAAAGCAGAGACAAAAAGGTGCTATAATGTGCAACAGCTACCACCTACAGCTCCGATTCTTTCGAGCAGGACCCTTTAGTGAATCAGACATAGTAGAGATGAGTCATACATTGTAATGACTGTGGATAAGGAACTAAGAAATGAAACGATGTTATTGCTTTACCTGGAATGTTCCACAGTATGGTATTAAACATATCTATCCATCATTGGGTATATTAGTCTATGTTTTCTTATATTTTATCTGATACAGCTCAAGATCATTCTAAAGCGATTTATTTCATTTCTGTCCTGTGAATGTGACTTTTTTAGTATCGCTACCTGTTCAGAGTATCTAGTTTCTATACTAGTTTTAGTATCAATTAATATTTTGATATTTTTAACAACTCTACTTTCTATTTCAAAATACCGTCTCATACAGAAACAAACAGAGGAATTATCCTTTTAAGAGCCGTCCTCCTGGGAGCTTATACTGTACAGATGCACACAAAGCCTGAACATGTTAGGCCTAGTGTTTCTGTGTAGTTCTGCCCACTCACTTCCCACTGCGTCCAATTCTACTTCACTAAAGCTGGAAAACCCACCACCATCGGGGCTCCACTTGGCCTTTCCTCACAAGAGCGCAGCATGAGGAAAAAATATCATAAAGGTACTAAAAATAAATGATTGATAGATGCCCGGGGCTACGTCAAAATGAGATCCAACCGAGGAGAGGAGAGTGAGGAGGTGAGAAAGAACAAGGTGGAAGAAAGGGAAGATGAAAACGTATAGGTAAAAAGAGGGAGGAAAGTTGAGGGAGGGACATAAAAGTGTGATTTAAGTTAATGGTATGTCACTGAATGAAAGCTTTATGGGGTAGAGCAGGAATTAGACTGCTCCCACTGGCGGTCTGTTTATGTGTGGAGGAGAGATAGGAGCATTTTTCTGTGTGTAGGTGACATTATGGGAAAATAGTGTAAGATTCCAGGTGTAATTTTGTCATTGCTGTTATATGCTGTCATAGAAATATATGGTAAAGTTTGGGGGACATGGTAACCGGTCAGTCAGTGGCATTTTAGCAGTATTATGTAGTTATTTTACTTTTTAAGGTCATATATTGTACTAGACTTAATTTCTTGAGCAATATCAAATTGTTTCCATGCCGAAATGTCATTCCTGTTGTTTGTTTCACTATTTTGAAGTAATTTTCTAGTTTTGAGGTTGTGTTACAAAACATTTTCACCTCATGATGTCATTAGTTGGTGGTCCATGAAGTCTGCTCAAACTGCCATCACTAAGCATCTTACTACCATATTTTTGGACTATAAGGTGCACTTAAAATCCTTTAATTTTCTCAAAAATCGACAGTGCGCCTTATGTATTAATTCTGGTTGTGCTTACTAACCTCGAACTGATTTTATGTGGTACACGGCACTCAAAAATCTGTCAAAAATGTTTTAGTACAACTTTGGTAAGGTATGAAGCCTTGATGGATTGTCGGAGCATTACGGCTACCGTAGTCAGAGAACACATATATTCCACTTAGTTGTGTACTTTAGTCTGACAGAAGCTGACCTCATCAGCGCACAATGAACGAGCTCTTTTTTCAGTGCTTATAATTTATACAAATTTGCCATGTGGTTTTAAGTTCCCTTTCTGTAAAACGTAAACAAATGTACGCAAAGTTGCATTAAACACATTAGTACTCATTGTATATTTGAGTCCTCCTCATATGAAATAAAAAAAAACAAACCAACCTAAATTATCCACCACCATTCACATAATAAACATCACCAAGACAGGGAGGCAACGGCGGGCGAATTGCACCACGATCTGCCAATGGATCGTGGATGCCTGGGCTAAAGGATCAGTCTCAAGTGTCATCCGTTTGTTTCGCTAAATGCGCCTTATAATCTGGTGCGCCTCGTGCAGGAAAATAGTCCGAAAAATATGGTAACTTTGATGATTGCAGCTTTTGCTATTGACCACATTTAAACAGCTTCAGTCCTTGTTTGTGTAAACCACTTGTAAAAATGGTGCGTTCACACTTTTATTTACACTATAAAAACTGGGACTTAATCAACACTAAATCCGGAAAACCAAAACTAGACTAGACCAGAACTGAACCAGAACTAAAAGAAGAACAAACAAAGTCCACAACAGGCCTAAACCAGGTTCAAACCAGGACAGGTGTGAATGTAACCTACAAGTGTCCACTATACAGGTGTTGTTAAGGGAAATTTTTTCAATGTATTCAGAAAACCAAAGGGGATCTGATTGAGAACAGGGGACGAGCGATGAATAGAGATGGACAGTAGTGCCTATAACAAATAATAATCTAGGTTTTAAAACAGATGACCTCCCTGCATCACAAAACAGGAATATCTACAATACTTTAATTCAAAATGCTGTGTCTTTATTGAGTACTTTATTGAGAAGATGTAGGCTAGAATATACAACCTCATTATCCTGTGTCAGTTTAGCGCCCCCTATAGAGACCTCCCTGCTGTTTACGCTATCGGAGTTGTACCTCTCAGTACAAACAATGCAGTTTGTTGCTAATCAGCTGGCCTGGCTCTGAAGCCTGTAGTTGTTTACGGCCGATTCATTATTTACTAAAGCGACTCTGGCTCTTGGTCTGCACATTAAACATTCATTTGCACCAAGGCCTCGCGAATGTCACCATCAATCAGCCTCACCCTTCACTGTCGCCGCTCGCCCCCAGAGTCTGAGCATGTCCTCTCTCTCCTGCCCTTTTAAATCACATGACCTTTAAACCACTTGATCAACTTTATACACCTCCTCTATGTTCAATATGTTCACAGTATTTATTTTATGTACCTGTTGGACTAGCAGTGGTTCCCTAAATGTGTAATGGTTGTCACTGGTGTTTTAATTTAGTCCTGGTTTAGGTTTGAATTAGTCCTAGTGTAGGCCTAGTTCTTTTGCATAGTCCACAGTAGGGTTGCCAAAAGTAAAAGTACTGAAAATCAGAGCCTAATCAATACTAAAACCTTTTTTGAATAGCTTTAGAATGATCTTGAGCTGTGTCAGACCACATATACAGCAGCATACGCCCATGGACCACTATGAAACCTACCGGGACGACTGAGGGATTACACAGATATAGCACCACATGGTAAAGAAAGTACAATTTAAAGTACTAATTAAAAAAAGTACTATGATTCAAGTCTATTCCTCAGTATCGAAATTGAGTTTGAAATGTTATTATTGTGACAACACTAGACCATATTTGTTTTCTTTTTAACAAAACCAATTAATAAAATCCGCTTTAGTCCTGGTTTAATCTCGGTTCAGTCCTCGTTTGTTTTTGAAGTAGTCCAAAGTAAATTGACTTGATTGTGGATCCAATATTACATGGTCTTAGCCAGATTGTTTTTTAAGTATTTTAGCAATGTTCATGCATGCATTACAATTTTATCTTGTTAACCTACTGAGAACTGGATGATTTGTCAAAAATATGGTGGTATGGTGGATATAGATTTTAATTTTAACTTCAAAATTAACATAGTTTTTACAGTACAATGCTATGATACATTGATACTATAAGAAATCATTCGGTGTAAATTTTCCTTTCTATGATGCATGGTAAATCTGTATGTGACATTAACTCAGGCCCCACCCCACTAACGAAACTACTCGACTTCTCCATCTCTTCTTTCCCATTCAAAATACATGTTATAGCATTAGACTCTATAGTTAGACACTACACTGAGAGCAATAAATAGTCTGACTTTGATCCATTGCACGCTTTCATTAGTTCACTTAGGGATTTCCCCAGCTTTATTCCCTCATGTCTCATCCACATAGGAGGCCCTGCTCAACTTATCCTTCTTTTTAATAACAGCATAACGTTATATATATGGGGTGGTCCTAGATGCTAATGTACTGAGCATGTAAAAAATAACATAATGTGATCATTTAGCAACATGTGTTACAGAAAATATGATTAAGATTCAGTAGGGTTTTTTGCACATGGCTAAATGTGGCTGAGAGAATTCATTTTATATTTAATCCTGTTGAAACGTACAGTACATAGTCGTGGAAGCAACATGAAATCTTCTCACAGGAACCCATGACCTTTTTAGCTGTGAAAGATGAAAAACTTGCACGAAATAGGCTCCAAATTGAGTACAAAAGTATGGAGTGTAAATTACAGAAAGAGAAAGAGTTAGAGAGAGTTAGTGCAGTTTAGCAGAAGGACTGGTCAGGTAGTGTGAGTAGATTCTGTGTGAGTATAGTTTGAGGAAAGGAACAGCCCTCAGGACAAAAGTGTCCCTCTGTGTCCTGCAGCATCAGCCAGTGTTTAGGAGAGAACCAGATGAACAGGAAAGCTCCTTCAAAGCCTCACTCTCACTGCGCTCTGTTGCAGCAGGTGGTGATGAAATGTTCCATACCTTCTAAGTATTTCCTCGGGAAGTTCTTGAAGGTAAAACCCCAGTGGGCAACTTTTTAGCCAGAAAATAGACAAAAATAAAAGCACATATTTTTCATTTTGGATATTACGGCACTGAAAAAAATCTAAATCTAAATCTAAAACTTTGCCTCCTTACTGTGAGCGGCTGGCATCTTCACAAAACTGACTCTCATGTTTATCAATGTCCATGATATCAGTATTTTCTTTTAATCGTGCTGTTGGCGTGCCACCACCTGAAAGTTACACAGTGTTACTTTAAATGATGTTGTAATGTATTTGTCCACAGATGCGCCGTGCTCGGAGCTGCAGGGTCTGATGTCCGGCCTCCTCCCTGACTCCCAGATCTCGTCTTCATCCATGAGGGACCTGCATGGCTCCATGGGGGCAGCGCGCCTCGTGGCCAGTCGCTCAGGCTGGTTCCCCAACCCCACCCAGCCCATCGCCGGGGAGGAGTGGCTACAGGCAAGGCACCATTTTTGTTCATGTAGCATTCAACTTTATTTTCTCTGGGATCTCATGGAAACATATCAGAACATTTCAATTCAGTGTTAGTTTATTTAGTCCTGCATAAATGAATAATAGTATTTAGTAGTAGTAAAGCACGGGTCTCTAACCTGTACCTCGGGAGCTACCAGTACCTCTCCACCCTCTTCCAAGTAGCTCACCAAGGTATTTCTGAATATATGCATAGTGCTGAATAAGTAAAATTTGATCAATTAAATGCCTATTACCACTGTGCATTGATACCTAACTTTGTTCACTAATAAATGGACAATGGTTTATGTTTTAAAGGCATCTAACTGTACCCCAAGGCTCGCCCTCTTTTAATTGTCTCAATTTCTTGTGACTGCTAAAACTAGTAGCTCTCTGGCATGTTTGTTTTGTAAAAGTGGCTCACTGGAGGAAAAAGGTTGGAGACCCCTGTAGTAAAGCAATCATAACAAGTAAGTGAGAAATACCGAAGTACAAGGGAATTGTAAATAGAGCATTGTAATTTAGAATTGATTGTTTTATTTTTCATCTATTTCTTCCTGTGTCTTTTTACATCCTTGTATCCATAATACGTTACAATATCTAATAGTTGCTTATGAACCTGACAATAAGAATATTGTTTACCCTATGAATGACAGAAAATTATTTACAGTAGTGAGCTATGACCAAGAATATTTGTGTAAACTACTAATTTACTGACTAGTTGACAATTCCTACTGTCAAAGTTTTCTCTGCAAAAAAAAAAAAAATAACATACAAAAAAGTAACAACTCTATTGACTCCATTAACCACTGACCTGTTTCCTCTCCCCTCCCTCTGTGCTGCTCCAGGTGGATCTGGGCGTCCCAAAGACCGTGCGGGGCATCATTACCCAGGGTGCCCGGGGGCTGGAGGGCAGCACCAGTGCAGAGAACAGAGCCTTTGTGCGCAAATACAAACTGGCTCACAGCCTCAATGGGAAAGACTGGACCCACATCATGGACAGCAAGACCGGCCTCGCCAAGGTAACTCATGTGGTACTAGAACAGGGGGTCCAGCGCTCTCAGGCCAGAAGTAGGATTTACACAACTAAATTAATAGTTAATAGTTAATGTCTGTAATTTGTTTGTTTAGAATTATCTTTATTTGAATAGTTTATTGCATTATTTTACTTAATTTCACTAACATATGGTTTTCAATAAAATCATCAAATCAAAATCAATCAAAATCATCTATTTCAGTGGGCTGCGACCCCACTTTGGGAACCACTTCTAAAGATGCTATAAATATGCTGTAGTTCTAAACCATGTCAAGATGATACTTTTCTGTACGTTTTAGTGTTAATAATATTATAATAATACAGTATCATTTATATATGTATACATCATGCTTTAAAATTAGGTTTATTCAGAAATTCTGTCTCTTAATAAAAAAAAAAAAAAAAAGAATACATCTTGGCATCTTTGCATTCCTGCTGACAAAAGCCTCTCTTTGTTTCCCATTCACTGCCTGCTGCCTCATTTGTCGAGTATTTCGAACTGTCTATCCAAACCTTTGAGTCATTTTCTGAAAACCCCATTTTATTCAAGTCTACGCACCGATAATAATTCAATTTAATCACACCTCTCTTTCTCCCTCTGTCTTTGTCTCTCCCTCTCTTTCTGTCTCTATCTCTCTATCTCCCTCCCTCCCTTTCTCTCTCTCTCTCTCTGTTTTCCATGTCTCTTGCTTTCTTCTCATCTTCCTGTTCACTACTCATCCTCTATTTGTTTCTCCTGGGTGCTAATTAAAATGGTCTTTCTTTTGCATGGATACACAGAGATGCCGGTAGTCACTGTTAGGCTTTACTGTGTATTTAATAGTATTTTAAGTGTCTCTTTTCTTGCTTTCATCTGCCTGTCATTAGCAATATGCATCTTGGGAAATTCCTTCAAGCACTCGCATGTGGAAGAACAGACAAACTACATGATTTGAATTCAAAAAGAAGCAGTGGTGTACAGTAGCCGCTAGCGAATTAAATCTTGTTCTGAAATCAAAGGAAAATCTGTTTTTATTGCTTAAACATCTTGCTATAATGTTGAAAGACAGATTTGAAAAGTGGCATCAATCTTGCAACTTGTTTTTGAAAAAGAACAAAACTGTTCAAAATGTGAAATGTAGCTGAGGCTAAGTTTTAGTTCAAAGAAATTACCCAGACACAAATTTTTGTTTTTAGTGTGTATAGTAGGTTCCAGAGGGAAGTCCTACTGTGATTGTTTAAGGTTAGAGGTTAGAAAAGGGTTTATGGTTAAATGATTCTTAAGATGCAGCAATAATTTAAAACCGAATTTGTCATCTACTGGCCTCACTCCATAAAAGATAATCTAGCGTTAACATGTTTCATCATCCAAGAATATAAGGTTATGAATATACTAAAAAAAAAAGAAAAAAAAAGATGCAATCCACAAATAAAGATTCAATTGAAAAAGCATATACAGACAGTTTGGATGTATTTTAGTCTTTGTAGAGCGAGTTTTCCAAAATTATATAAGCTACTTTGATATGAGTGAGCGCTACAGTGAGAACCAAACTTTCCAACAAATGTTAAAGCTTACATGGTTGAGGTGAGCCCGGGAATGCGCCGCAGTGGGACGCCCCGTGTACAGGGAGATATTTGAATTGGACCCCTTCCTTTTTGTGTCATATCAAAACACAAGGCCCTAAATTATCATTCTGCAGCGCTATGTTACGGTTCACAGCTCATTTACGCTCATATATTTTGTGTTTTGACGTGTTTGTGTTCAGATTTTCGAGGGGAACAGTCATTACGACACTCCAGAGGTGCGCAGGTTTGAGGAGATCGTGGCTCAGTTTGTGCGCGTGTTTCCGGAGCGCTGGTCTCCGGCCGGGATCGGGATGAGGATAGAGGTGCTGGGATGTGACCTGCCAGGTAAGAAAATAACAATGTGCAATTACATGCAGAACAAATGGAATGGAACAAAATGGGGTACTTTTACTCAAGGGAACAATGTGTAAGATTTTGAATTCAAATTTGAAAAATACCTGTCCCCAGACCAGAGTCCTGCACAGGTCTGTTTTCGGAGACCCGCACCCGCGCTGTACAGCACCACACCCGCCTGTTAACCCGTGATTATATCAAAGTTAAATTCGCACCCGCCCGGACCTGTTAACAGTCCGCCCTTGATAAATCGGGGTCAGCCCACTACTCTGACAGTCCAACAGTCCAAGACTAAACCAGGACTAAACCAGGCCTGAACCTACGCCTTGTCATTAGCGGATTATAAATATATACACGCCGTAACCGCAGACCCGATCACCAGGACTGGACCAGGACTACACCAGGACTAAACCAGTGTCATTAAGCATAAATATAGACACACCGCAATCGCCAAGCCGATCGTCAGGACTACACCAGGACTGGACTAGGTCTCAAGCAGAACTAAACCAGGACTGAACCAGGACTTAACCAGGACTAAACCAAGATTTAACCAGGTCTAAACCAGGACTAAACCAGGAGGGCAGCTGATCACCTCCGCTGATGGTTTTATGTAATAAATACACAAAAGTCACTCTCTCAGCCTGGTCTGCCTTCATTCCGGGAAAAGACTAGGAAATGGCACTTGTTTCCAAGGCAATGGACGTCCTGTAGTATTTTTCTCCCGTTCATCGTTCATTTGATTCACCTGACCCTTCCATTTGTAATCACGACCCACCCGCATACCTGCTCGTAAAATTCCAGAACGTTAAAACTCGCCTGTTTCAGTAACTATTTGAGGGTACCCGACCTGGTGCAGGACTCTACCCCAGACACAAAGTAGGCTTGTTCAGTGTTGATTGTACTGATCACAACTGTATGGCTGATTTAGTCTTGATTACGAGAACACTTAACATGATGGCCAAGTTATTTATAGTACAATATGGTGTTTAATTCTCAAGATGATTATCCAGTGAGAAATCAGAATGAACTTCATGCATTTGGGTTGCCAGTTTTAATGCTCTCTTTGATCTGAATCCTCAGTACCTAAACCCCAACACAGCATTAAACTCTATTTATATCCATGGAGACAAACATTTCCAAGGCATTTTTTGATCAGTAAAAACACTTCATAACATCTAGAAAAGTTACTTCTTCCTACTACTTCTTCCTCGTTTGAGTCCACATTCAATTGCATGTGGACATATGTCATTACCAATCACAATAGCCCATAGATTTCACGGCATACCCTCCATTTAACACTATACATAAATCCACCCACATCATAATTATACAATGCAACATTACTGACGGTAATGCGCCGTTAATATCAGCTTATGTCTGAGCCTATGCGCATAAGTCTTTATTGTTTTCATGTGTTTTGCTGCGCGCTGCACCATTCCTATAGCACCGTGCGGTTGTGCAATAGTTAATTCTCCATAGGGGGGACTGCTGCTTGTCTGGAAGGGGATTAAAACGTCTAGGTCATGGGATGTCCTGTAATGGTGGCCAGCTGTGAACCTCCAATGTTGTGGAAATACCATGGAGCATGTAGGTGGAGAAAAGGAAAATGTTGTGCGGACTGATAATTTATGACTTTTTTAAGCACATCTGTAAATAGTTGAGGATAAACGTCTCTTTCAGTTGCCAAGATTGGACCTATGTTATAGTGCTTGTTAGCAGAGGCAGGCAAATAGGTATGTTAAATGTGGTGTTATATAATGTGAGTCTATATACAGTAATGTAAGTTAATATATGGTTGAAAACATTATAGCAATTAGAGCAAAGTACAGTGACTCGTGCAATTCACATTCACTAATGAGCCCAAGAAGCTTATGTTAAAGTTGTTTTGCAGATACAGTTTCCAGATTGAGTTTGGGCATGGGTAGAGGAGGGATAGTGAATATATGGTATGGAGAATTGAGAGTGAGTATTGATACTTTGCAGCTGATGACATCAACATTGTCTGGGGTTATAATGCTCACTGTAGGCTCTGCTCTGTCTGAGGCTTTATTAGACTTTTATCTGACCAGAAAAAACTGACTTAATGGGAATTACAACTTCTCAAACAGTATTACAATCACAAACTATAAACAGCATTAATAATTTTTCTTTTTCATTTTTAGTTAGGCACTCTCACCATTTTTGGCAATGTTTGCTAATGTGTTCATTGTGTAACCATGGAAACTAAGGTTGTACAATTAATTGAATTTTGATCGCGATTTCGATTTGTGTGTCAAGCGAGCTCATAAAAATCCGAGTTGAAACGATAAAACCTAACAAAGTTTATTTGGGGATTTTTTTTTTATATAAATAAGTTAATTTATTTTAGCTTTTAAATATAGAGACGGGATATATGGTTTATTTTGGATACGTTTATGTTTTTCTGTGCCTTATTATTTCATGTTCAAAGTGTATTTTATTCATTTTATCTTTTATACATTGCAAAACTGCTCTAAGGTTCATATTTGTAGCCTATATTTATTTTCAGTTATCAATAACAAAGTTGTTTTTTTTTTGAGAGAGAGATGCTGAATAAATGCATTGTGTAACTAAAGTTAATCATTTGAATAATCTTGATTTCAATATTTACCAAAATAATCGTGATAATGATTTTTTTATATAATCGAGCAGCCCTAATGGAAACTCCTATACATTATACTATAGAGGTACATGTTAAACTCCCCCAGCTTAATGTCAATGCAAAGTATCAACATGGTACAGGGGAGAGTGTGTGAGTATGTAGGTGAAGAGAAGATGTACGAATGTATTGAAAGATTACACGAAGTGAGGTAATGGAAGATCATCCCAAATATCTCGCAGTGTTATAAAATCCTGCGGTCTACTTCTCCGAGAGTCGTGCAGGTTGTGAGGTTTGACAGGTGACGACAGGGAGCTGAAATGACACATGAGTTGACCTGCTCCCATTGGGCACCAGGCAAGGCTATACTGCGTCACCACCACTGTTTATAACTCGTGGAAGTGAGAGGGAGGGAGAGTAAAAGAGAGAGAGAGAGGGACCTTGAGATTGCAGCCCTGAAGTGTCACGACAAACCCATAAGCAGCACAAGACAAGAGAGAGAGAGAAGGGGAGAGGGACAGGGGGATAGATGGAGAGAGAGAAGAGGCCCATCTTGTAGAGGGACATCTTGTTGGCACAGGTCAGACTCCGAGAATTATAAAGCATGTCAAGTGTATAGTGTTGTTTCACCTTTACCAAGCAGGTTCATAAAACAGAACGTAAATTATTGATAATGATTCATCACAAGGTCTTTAAATGCCACACATCAGCACAAGAAGTATTGAGTTAAATTAAGTAAAATATTGATTATGTGTTAGGGTTTTGTTGTAATACAATGTGGGGTAGGGCTGAATGATTTTAAGAAAAAATGTAAATGTGATTATTCTGGCAGATATTGCGATTTTGATTTTATCCAAGATTTTTTTCAAATTAAGTTTCAGTGCACACGAACATTTGCAAACATCACAGAAACTTGCATCATACCAGAGTCCTGCACCAGGTCGGGTACCTGCGGGTGCCTGGTGTGGCTACTACTGTCAAAAATCTGTCATCACTTCACAGGCATTATTTATTGAGCCGAAGAAACACTGATCGAGATGCCGGACTTTTGCACCGCATATGGACTGAACCAGGACTGAACCAAGACTAAAACAGTACTAAAAAGGACTAAGTCAGGACTAAACCAGGTCTAAACCAGGAGTGATCCCAGGACTGAATCAGGAGTACTAAACCAGGACTGAACCAGGACTAAAACAAGACTAAACTACAACTGAACGAGGACTGAACCAGGTCTAAACCAGGTCCAAACCAGGTGTGAACCAGGACTGAACCAGGTCTAAACCAGGTCTAAGCCAGGTCTAAACCAGGTCTAAACCAGGTCTAAACCAGGTCTAAACCAGGTCTAAACCAGGTCTAAGCCAGGTGTGAACCAGGTGTGAACCAGGACTGAACCAGGACTAAAAATGGAGTGATCCCAGGACTGAACCAGGACTAAGCCAGGACTAAACCAGGTCTAAACCAGGTCTAAACCACTACTAAACCAGAACTGAACCAGAACACATGTGTAAAATAGTTGATGAAACAAAACCTGGGTCAGCTTTGACGCTCCCAAAATCGTGCTGTCTGAGATCGCGATTTTTACATTGTCAACTCTACTGGCTGATTTGTTTCTATCCAAAACAAAGGGAGACAGGAGAACATGGTACATACACAGAACACCTTTAAACATGTATTATAATAAGTACAACATGCAGACTAAAGTAATGCAGAATTGGAATAAAAGAGTAAGAGTGTTTTGAATCATGCTAACTATCTTGGTCTTAAACGCTCCAAATCACTTTCCAAGAGTGGCCTGTTTAGATTTCATTAGGTCTTATCTCCTCTGTGCTCGCGGGCTCCTCTAACCACCTCCTGGCCCCATATCTCTTCAGGATCACCACAGACTCTCCTCGCCCTGTCTGTCTCGCTTCTCTCTCTCTCTCCTCACTCTCTGTCTCCTGTCCCTCCTCTTCTTTCCTATCTCCTCCTTTCTCTCTGCGTATCTCCTTCCTCCTCTCCTCTCCTCTCCTCGCCCTCTCACCTCCCCCTCGCCCTGCCCGTCCCTCCTCTCCAGATGTGTGCCTCCTGGTTGTAATCACTGCATTAGTCGAGTTCATTGCCACTCTCCGTGCCCACTGTGACATCTGCTCCACACAGACTGGCTGCTGCCTCTGGCCCAGGGCGAGGTGCTCTGGTACATTAGGCTTTGTCTGGTTGGTAATTGGTGAACATTATGTGATTTAGAGTGCCACTACTGCGCTTTTATTTTTGTCATAAGAACAGCTGTTTTTGCTGACTATCACTAAAAATATAGCTTTTTTTTAATAACTACAACCCAGCTATTCAGATTAAAGAATCAATATTTGACCTGCATTTCAGTCCAGGTCAGAGCAGG